CTGCCTGTAGCGAGCAGCAGCAGCAGCAGCAAGAGCAGCAGCAGCAGCAAGAGCAGCAGCAGCAGCAAGAGCAGCAGCAGCAGCAACAGCTGGATCAACAGCAGCGGGAACGGCTCGTGGAGGAGCAGCAGCAGCGACAGCAACTGCAGCATCAGCAACCGCAGCAACAGGTGAATGAATTCGAGCAGCAGCAGGTGTATCATTTCGGGCAGCAGCAGCTGCAGCAGCAGCTGCAGCAGCAGCTGCAGCAGCAGCAGCAGCAGCAGCACGGGTCGCAGGTACATGATTTCGAGGAGCAGCAGCAGCTGCTGAAAGCGCACAATTTTGAGCAGCAGCAGCTTGGAGAGCAGCACGAGCTGCCCTTGAATGACTACCGGCAGCAGGAGGAGCAGGTGCCAGAGCAGCAGCAGCAGCAGCAGCAGCAGCAGCAGCAGCAGCAGCAGGGTTTCGCTGCGCCGTCTGCGCAGCCGGCGTCTTTCCCAGAGCGGTTTTTTTTGTCTGCTGCTGCAGCAGCAGCAGCAGCACGGCGAGCCCCTCTTGGAGTGCCGGAGAGCAGCAGCGACAGCGAAACGCATGCACAGGAAGGTTTGCTGCTGCTGCAGAGTGACCCTGTGGGGCCCCACACTGCTGCAGCGCCGCTGCTGCAGCAGCTGCCGCTGCTGCCCCGCTTCGGGCCCTCAGCTTTCCCCAGTTTGGAGACTTCCAGGGCCCCCGTGTCTCCTCCCTGCGAGCTGCAGCGGGAAGCTCATGTGCAGCAGCTGCTGCTGCATCTGTCGCAGCAAGACGCGCTGCTGTACGCGCAGCAGCAGCAGCAGCAGCAGCAGCGGCGCAGGTTCCCGCAGCAGCAGCAGCAGCAGCAGCAGCCGCTCGCAGCAAGACTCGTCGTCCCCGAGGTGGTCCAGGGGCGGTACCACTCGCTGCTGCTGCTGGACTCGGAGGAGAGCTTGGAGCGGCAGCGGCTGCTGCTGCAGCAGCTGCAGCAGCAGCAGCAGCTGCAGCTGCCCTGCCTCTCCCTTGCATGCGGCTACCCCACAGTTTGCTTCAAAGCTCTTTGCCTCGATGACCCCCACGCCTATGTCATTAGGCTAATTGCATTTTACCCCATTTCTTCTTTTGACCTAGTCAAGGTGAGTTCCTTTTGCTGCTGCTGCTGCTGCTAAATTGGCGCTGCTGCTGCTGCTGCTGCTGCTAAATTCGTGCTGCTGCTGCTGCTGCTTCTGTTGAATTGGTGCTGTTCCTAGTACTGCTGGAGCGACTGCTGCAGTGCCATCTGCATGTGCAGCATAGTTGTGAGTGGGGCTGTTTGCTGCTGCTCGAGCTGGCAGTGAGGACTTGCTGCTGCTGCTGCTGCTGCTGCTTCTGCTGCTGCTGCTGCTGCGGCTGCTGCGGTCGCTGCCAGCACTGTCGTTCCTATCGAGCTTGCTGTGGGTGCGGGCTCGTCGCTGCTGGTTTGCCGCCGGAGTGTGGGACCAGCAGCAGCAGCAGCAGCAGAACCAGCAGCAGCAGCAGCAGCAGCAGCAGCAGAGGGTGTGGGGTGTTGCATGCGCAGGCAGCAGTGCAGCGGTGGGCGCCAGTGTCTTCGTCTCACCCGAACTTAGTGCCGGTGCGGCACGCAATAGCAACAGCAGATTTGTCTGCATGCATGTCGAGTTTGTTTGCTGCTGCTGGCAGCAGCAGCAGCAGCAGCAGCAGCAGCTGGAAGGGCTTCTGCGGCGCCGGCGGCGCTGCAGCAGCAGACAGCAGCTCCGAGAGCGACGGCGAGAGCGGCGGCCTGGGGCTGCTGCGCGGCCGCAGCAGCAGCAGCAGCAGCAGCAGCGTGGGCTTTGTCTTCGACTACATCCCCAATGCTTACACTTTAGAAGAAACTTTTGTCTCCGAAGAAATCAAAACAGAAACAATTAATGAAATAACTCTTTGGAAAATTGTTCTGCAGATTCTTTTGGCGCTGCAGCACATACACTCCAACCAGTGAGCGCCCACACTTCCCGGGTGTACGTACACCTCAAGCCGCAGCCCGCATGCGCTCTTGCCCCAAACCCAAACCCAAACCCTAAACCCTAAACCCTAAACCCTAAACCCTAAACCCTCGTCAGTGTACGCACAGCTGGGCCGCGCACCTGGGGCGCGGGGAAAGTGCTGCAGCAAAACGTGCATGCATGCGGGCTTTAACAGCAGCAGCAGCACCATCAGCAGCGCGCCGCTGCTGCTGCTGTAGCAGCAGCGGCGGCTGTTGCAGCTGCAGCGAATGTCCCAGGAGGAATCCCACCTGCTAGCAGCACTGCAGCAGCAGCAGCTGCTGCTGCCGCTGCTGCTGCGGAAGAGACTCTGGAAGAAAGGCAGCAAAGAGACCTGATGCTGCTGGGCAAGCTCATCCTTACCCTTGTCTGCGGCAGCGC